CCTTTTTCTCTGCCTCATGCAACTGTGGCTGTCAGAGATGCCCAGGGAGCCAACCCGAGAGCAGAGGGTGGGGAAACGCTCCCCACTTTCTGTACCATCTGCTGGAAAGAGTCAGCCATAGATTTGTTGCTTCTTCAGCCCAGTCCGATTCCCCTTATTGCACCCCAAGAAACCCCCTCTCCAGCAAGGTAAGGTGAGCACAGGAGGAGATCTCGGTCCAGCTGTTCTCTATATTCCTCCAGATGTGGTGATGGGTACACTGCATTGACCCCACACCCATCCCAAAGCCCACACGGTGCTCCCCGGCATCTGGACCTGGGGTGGCAGCAGCATCCAGAGGGGAGGAAGGTGACCAGAGTCCAGGAGCGGAGGAGACCCGCCTGGATGTCTGCTCTGGCATGTGACACCCTGCAGTGCTCTGTGCCTCAGTTTCCCCATGCACATCCTGCAATGCTGTTGTCCCCCACATCCACCAATGTCCCCCCCTCTTTCAAAGGGGACTCCATGGCCCAGAAGAGCTGGGGAGACCATCACACTCCTCCCCAAGCTCTCTAGGGGCTGGCAGAGGCAGGGAGAGCATCCGCTGCAGGGGGACATGGTCCCACTCCCCTCTCCAGTATGTGAGAAGCCCACAGGCACCATCTCCCTTCCAGAGATCCATCCCCAGGGATAAAACATCCTCCTCAAACCAGGAGGCGAGAGGGGGAATTTGCTGGTTTCTCCTCCCACCACCCCCTCCCAGGCCAGCTTCTCCTCTGAGCACTGGGTTTGCTGGTCTCTGCTGCTGGGAAGGGAGGGAATTTCGGTTCCTGCTCAGGGGGAGATGAGGGGAGCCCCGTGCTGGGTTTTGGGCACCCGGGTGCCATTCCCAGCTGCTGACCTGGGTGTGAGGTGTCTCTGCTTCTTCACCGGCCGGTGGGAAGAGCCAGGGCAGAGGAAGGAAAAGCCCTTCTGAGCCGAGGTTAACAAGGTGTGGCCGAAGCCAGGCCTTGCAGACCATG